ATATTAAATCTATACTTGGACCAGAAGGCAGTTGTCAAAACAGAGCAAGGACAGCATGGTTCAAAATTGGGAAGGGTGTATGCCAAGGATGTATTCTGTCTCCATACATTTACAATCTATAAGCAAAACAGATCATCCAGGAGGCCGAGCTATATGAGGAGGAATGTGGCATCAGGATTGGAGGAAGATTCATCAACAACTTGCATTATGCAGATGACACAAACCTGCTTGCTGAAACTGAGGAGGACCTGAAGCACTTGCTGCAGAAGATCAAGGACTGCAGCCTTCAATATGGATCGAAGCTCAACATTAAGAAAACAAAGATTCTCATCACTGGGCTGACTGGCAGCATAATGATAAATGGTGAAGAGATTGAGATTGTTAACATTTCTAGCTTGCTTGGCTCCACAGTCAACACTCTTGGTACCAACAGCCAGGAAATCAAGAGACGAATTACATTGGGAAAGTCAACTGTCAGGGACCTTTCCAGAGTACTGAAGAGCAACAATTTCAGTCTGGCAATTAAGGTGCACCTGATCCAGACCATAGTCTCTGAAATTGCTTGCTATGTGTCAGAGAGCTGGACAATGACTATGGATGATAGAAGGAGAATTGATGACTTTGAGCCATGGTGCTGGCGAAGAGAGTTGAATATACCATGGAGTACCAGGAGAACAAACAGATTCATCCTAGAGAAGGTGAAGTCAGGCTGTTCCTTGGAGGCAAAGATTCTAAGGCTTTGTCTTACATACTTTGGGCATGTTACCCAAACATGTCAAAGGGGGTACCAGTACTTAGAGAAGGACATTTTGCTAGGAAGGGTGGAGGGACTGAGAAAGAGAGGGAGACTATCTATGAGATAGATTGATGCAGTGACTGGCGTAATGAGGGTAGGTGTGTCAAAGACAGTAAAGTTGGCACAGGACACAGTAGGTTTCAGGGCTGTTGTAAATAAGGCTTTTATGAGTTGCAAGCAACTCAATGGCACATAAAAAACAACAACATATTCCAAGCAATGGAATAGCTGGGTCACATGGAATTTCTATGTTCAGTTTTTTTAGGACATGCCAAAGTGCCTTCTAGAGCGGTTGTACCATTTTACAGTCCCATCAATAGTGTATAAGAGTTCCTATCTCATCACATCCTTTCCAACATACTACGATGTGAGTGAGATGGTGTCTCATTGAGGTTTTGATTTGCATCTCTCTCATTGACAGTGATTTTGAACATTTCTTCATGTGTCTTCTGGCCATCTGAATAGCTTTCTCCATGAAGTCTTTCCATATCTTTTGCCCATTTTGTAATCTTTTAAATAAATTTTTTTAATTTTGTCATTTTAACAAAAGTTTACAGAAAAGTTAGATTTTCATTCATTCATTGTTGCACCTTTTACCCCATCCCTCCCTTCCTCTCCCCAAGTTGACTTTTTTATTTTCATTAGTTTATTTACAATATTCTAATACAAATTCGAACAAATTCTTTCAATTTCCTCACCAACCCCCATCCATCAAATTGTACAACCCAATGATTAATCCCCTCTTCCCCCTGTACATCCACATCCCTCTCCTACCAGCCTGTCCCAGCCCTCCTGGATCCTTATATTCATTCTACAATAACGGTCTTATACAATATTTATCCTTATAGGACTGAGTTAGTTCACTCAGCATAATGCTCTGTAGTGCCTTCAAGTTAGGTAATAATTTACAAATTTATTGTTCCTGCGTGCTGTATAGTATTCCACTGTGTGAATGTACCATAATTTCTCAATCCATTCATTTGTGGCTGTACATCTGGGCTGTTTCCATGTTCTTGCGATGGTGAATAATGCTGCTATTATCATTGGTGTACAAATCTCAGTTTGTACCTCAGTTCTCATATTCTCAGGGTATATCCCAAGTAGTAGAATAGCAGGGTCATATGGAATTTCTATGTTCAGCTTTTGACATCCAGATAGGCAAAGAAATGGTTAAACTGTAGCTTTATGCAGATAATATGATAGTGTACACAGAAAACCCCAATGACTCAACAACAACAACAACAAAAACCTGTTAGAGTAATAGGCCAATTTAGTAGAGTGGCAGGATTTAAGATAAATATCCAAAAATCAATAGGATTCCCCTACGGTAACAAAGAGAACCCAGAGACAGAAATAAAGCAAGTAATACCATTTACAATAGCCAAACACAAATTGAAATACTTGGGAGTAAATGTAACTAGTGATACAAAAGGCCTATACAAAGAAAACTATACAGCATTTCTGAAAGATACTATAAAAGACTTAAATGCAAAAATGTGCCCTGTTCATGGACAGGAAGACTCAATATGGTGAAAATTACAATCCTACCAAAAGCAATCTACATGTTCAATGCAATTCCAATCCAGGTACCAAATGCATTTTCCAAGGAGATTGAAAGGGAAATAATGAAATTTATTTGGAGAGACAAGAGACCTTAAATACGCAAAACACTTCTGAGGAACAAAAATGAGGTTGAAGGCATAGCACTCCCTGACCTTAAAACCTACTGTACCACAGTGGTAACCAAAACAGCATGGCACTGGTACAATGACAGGCACATCGACCAATGGAAGAGAATTGAGAACCCAGAAATAGATCCACCTATCTATGGTCAACTGATATTTGATAAGGAAATCAAAGCTATCAAATGGGGAAATGATAACCTCAACAAATGGTGCTGGCAAAACTTATTTCCACCTCCAGAAAGCTGAAACAGGATCCACATCTCACACCATAGACAAAAAAAGGTGGATCAGAGACCTGAGAGTAAAGCCCAAAATCATCACGTTCTTAAGAGACAAACTGGGATCAAGCTTAGAAGCACTAGTTCAAGGTATAAAGAGACTGCCATAAAGAGACTGCCAAATACAAGCAGAAATGCACAGTCTAAAGAGCATTAAATTGTTTCATGGGGCCTTCTAAAGATTAAATCTCCATGCACATTAAAAAGTTTTTCAAACAGGATGAAAAGAAAATCTACAGACTGGGAACAAACATTTGGTAATATCATCTCAGACAAGAGTCTTAAAACAAAAGTTTACAGAATACTCCTGGGCCTCTACAAAAAGAGGAATGATAAACCAATTATAAAATGGGCAAAAGACATGGAAAGAATTTTCACAGAGGAAGATATTCAAGTGGCAAACAGACACATGAAGAAATGCTCCAAATCACTGACAGTAACAGAGATGCAAATCAAAACCACAATGAGGTACCATCTAACTCCAGTAAGAATGGCAAAGTTTAACAGGGAAGCAAGTAATAGATGTTAGAAAGGATGTGGTGAGAAAGGAAGTCTTACACATTATTGGTGGGATTGTAAAATGGTACAATTATTCTGGAAGGAAGTTTGGTGCTTCCTTAAAAGCTGAACATTTTGTAATTTTGTTATCAGTCTTTTTCTTGTAGAGGCCCTGTAGGATTCTGTAAACTTTTGATAGGAGACCCTTGTCTGAAATGGTTTTGCCAAATTCCCCCCCACCCGGCCCCCTTCAGTAGATTTTCTTTTCACTCCTTTGGAAGAAGTTTTTGATGCACATAGGGATTTAATCATTAAAGAGTCCCTTTCATCAATTTTATTCTCTCTAGATTGTGCATTTCTGGCTGTATTTGGCAGTCTGTTTATACCATAGTCTAGGCCCTCTAAGCTTGATCCTGGTTTGTCTCTGATGAACTTTATGGTTTTGGGCTTTACTTCCAGGTTTATGATCTATTTTGATTTTTGTGTATGGTGTGAGATGTGGATCCTGTTCCAGCTTTCTGTAGGTAACAGTCCGCTTTTGCCAGCATCATTTGTTGAAGAGGTTGTCATTTCCCCATTTGATAGGTCTGATTTCTTTGGATTCTTTCTGGATTCTTAATTCTATTCCGTTGGTCTATGTGCCTGTCACTGTACCAGTACCATGCTGTTTCGGTTACTAACACTGTGTAGTAGGTTTTGAGGTCAGGGAGCACTATGCCTCTTACTTAATTTTTGTTTTTCAAAAGTGTTGTGATTATTTGGGGTCTCTTTCCTCTCCAAATAAACTTGACAATTTCCTTTTCAATCTCCTTAAAAAATGAATTGGGTATCTGTATTTTGATTGGTTGAACAGGCAGATTGCTTTTGATTGGATGTCATTTTCACAGTATTGAGTCATCTTATCCATGAACAGGGAACATTTTTCCACTTATTTCGATCTTTTATTATGTCTCACAAAATGTTCTGTAGTTTTCTTTGTACATGTCTTTCATGCCTCTAGTTAGATTGACTTCCAAGTATCACAGTTTGTATTTGGCTATTGTAAATGGGTACAGCATTTGTCTGTCAGTTTGCTGTACTAAGATGACCTGGGGTTGCTGTGAGGCTGATATCTATGCCACTGGTGTATCAAATGACATTTGGGTTACCCATAATGGACAGGTTTTGGTGAAGCTCCCTAAATAAGACAGGCTAGGAAGCAGGGTGGACCACCTACTTTCTAAAGAACAGGCCTTTGAAAACCATATGAACACTAAAGAAAAAGGATAGTTATAGTAGTATATTGGTAAAGCCCAGATTAGAAGTCAGTTGAAATGAGGAAAACCAATAACAAGCATTGTTTAATAATTGAACATGGAATGTACATAGCTTGCATGTTGAAAAAGTGGGAATTGTTTAAAATGAAATGGAAGGCATGAATTTTTACATACTAGGCCTTAGATGAAATATACCTACTTTGTCAACTTTGAATCATATGATAATATGGCATACTATTCAGGAAATAGAAGATTTCTACCAACTTTTACAGTCGGAGATCTATCAAACATGCAATCAAGATGCATTGATATTAATGGGTGACTGGAATGCAAAAGTTGGGAACAGAGAAGACGAATCAGTAGTCAGACATTTGTGTTTCAGGTGTAGAGAGGAGAGAGAGTGAACAGGGAGCGGGGCTTTTGTCTGTTGGTCTCCCTGGACTGAAGAGAGGAAGGGTGCAAGCCCAGGACTGTTAAGATTCTGGAAATGGCTTATTACCCGGATCTATTTGTCTGGGTCAGTCAAGAACCATTTCCAAATGAGGAAATGGAAGGAAGGCTCCCCAAGGGAAGACTTCCTGTCCCAAAGGAAGTAAATCGCAAGAAGGGCGAAGAGACTGTTGCTGCCTCCCTGACTCTGCTTGGAGGCGAAGAAGTCCTTCCCCCAAGAATCAGTTACCTCCACTCTTTTTAATCATAACACCTTCATTTGTATCACATATGGTGTATGGGTATTGATGAGATCATGGTATCATATATGGGATTTTTTCTGTGTAAATCATCAAGTATAAGAAGAAACTATGGGACTCTGAGCCTTGCTTTAGAGAATTTACAGTGGACAAATAGGTATCATCAAACAGTTTTTAATCATTCTGACTCTGGTGAAAACGCTCAGAATTTCACACTGTGAATCCACGTTTACAACCCTTACAGGTGGGCCTTCAG